CGTTGCTGACGAGAAGCGGCCGGGGCAGTGTGGTCGCGGGCTGGGGCCGCCGCTCGGGCCTGCTCTTCCCGGGGCCTTCCTGTGGCCTCGACGCTCCTCGCCGCTGCGGTGAGCGCCGCGGTGCCGGCGGCCTGCCCCCTCCGCTCGCGGCGCCTCCTCGCCCGTCACCGAATTGCCCGGCCTTGTGCAGAAATCCCGGCTCCTGTCCCGCCTGCAGCTGTGGCCGCAGAAGGAAGGGTCAGGGCTAGCCAGTCGGTGGAAGGGCTTCGGCCGCCTGACCCGCAGCAAGCGCTGCGGAGTGCTCGTGAACTTCCATCTCGTGAGGAATAGAGCCCGCGAGATGAATTTACCCTTTAAAATGAAATCAGAATATTCTGAGTAGTCTCAGGGCTTGTTTGTTCTTAACAGTCAAGAGCCGCTGAAGCGTGTTTATCGTGAGGTCGGTTGTGATCTCCGTAGCATAGTATTCCTCCGTGCTTTGGATAGCGTTTGCAGTTTTGCTGATCGAATACCATAAGGTCACTGAAGCTTTGGAGTAAGAGTCACTGGAGCTTTGGAAGCTTTTTGGCTTCAAAGGCTAGAAAAAAAAGTACATATTTACTAGTACTTTTCTTACTCCTGTACTGAAAGACTAAGGACAGTGTGACTGTTAAGAGACATTTAAATGCTATTTTATCCAGTGCCTTGACAAAACTGGACAAAACTTCGTCTTAGTATTGCAGCAGAACCTTACAATGAAAAGTAGAGAATTCCTGTAGAACTTAAGCAAAAAAACTCCAAAAGTAGTAAAAGTTTTAGGGAACTCTAGCTGTGATTTGAAAGCCAAACTCTGAAATATAAGTGGAGAAAATTACAGAAAGGCAGAAAAAGTTAAGTATGGTATAGGTTTATAAGGTCGAAAGTTATAACCCTCATTCTTCCCAGCACAGTCACGGGCTTGCACGTATCACATGGTTGCAGCACGTGTTTACAGTTTGGGTTCCTGAACATTGTGTGAATAACTGGTGAGGGAAATATAACAGCATCAAAGCACATCTTAAAATCCTATATTTTATTTTTCAATAGCCTGTTTCTTGGGTTTTGTTTTATTTTAGCTGTGGAGTTGCCCTCTATTTTTTGTTGCCTTGTTTACACTTTTTTTTTAAAAAAAAATTCTTCCTCTGTTGCATTAACATAATGCATTTCATCTGGGGAAGCCACTGATATAGACGGAATATAAAAATGTTACATTAGGGGCTTTGGGGGGTTTTAGGTCTGAGGTGTTGAACAGTCTCTGGTCTTTCACTCCTACCTGTGTACTGGTCAGTAATCTATGGTAAGTGGATGATATAGTCCAAGTATTGTTTCAGTAATGTTTATACAGCTAAATTCACATGTAGAAGAGCTCCATTAAAAATAATAATCCTTGAATTTTAAGAAGTTACTGTCTTAGTTTTTCTCACAGAACCTCTGCTACTATAAAAATGCCATACTATAAAATGGGATTTTTGTGGATAAAATGGGATTCCTAGGGCATTAATTAGCTGTCAATACTGCCTGTCAGAATTGACTAAGGCTGAGTTTTGAATAGTCTCTGTGAGCATGGTGTGGGTAAGTTGCAGCTCCAGGACTGCAGGAGTTCTCTTCCTTCTTTCAAATGCCTCTCTGTGATTTGTAGTGTGGAGTTGGAATAAAATCTTAAGCAGTGTCAGGTGTGGAATTGGAGAAGCACTAACATTACCACAAGATTCATTTTTCTTTCAGCCTGCAACATCACTTTGGAGGCTGGGCATAGGTCACAGTAACACAGCTGGGCTGTGTAGAGTCTGTACTGGGGACAGCCCAGGTAGCCCAAGAGCTCTGCATCCTGGAAGGTCTCCCCTCAAAGCTGAATTTGCCATGGGAAACCCTTTCTTCAGCATGCTTTAGAGCCCTGTGAGCTGTATGGGAGAAGGGCATAGGAGGGAAGCTCTAAACTTCCCTAGAGGTGGAAAGATATTTTGCAGATACTCTTACTGTTTTTTGAAAAAAATCCCACAAACTCAAAACAAAAAAAACACAAGCAATAAGCTTCTCCACCTAAACAAGGAGAACAACTGGTTATTTATTTTTATCTAGTTTTTGTCATGCTGCATATCAGCACTCTTCATAATACTAAGGCCACTTGCATTTTTTTGCCAAAATCCAAGCTTTGTCCTTCAGCGCGCAGCAGAAGGAACGTGACTATAAAAGTAGTTCCTTTCAAGCAGACCTGGTAGTGGAGAACACACTCACTGTGGCTTTTCTCCTCCCACAACACTGCTTTAATCATGTACATCCAGCAGATTTGCCTGTCCCTTTTCTGGGAGCTCTCTGTAAGGGCTCTAGCAAGAGCAGCTTTGTGGCTTGAAAGCAAACTGCACAATGTGGAGTTTGACAGCTTCTGTCACGTGTCAAACACTAGGTGACTGCCACTGCAGGTTGACTTCTCCTCATGACATGGCATGTGCAGAAGAGCTTTGGAGTCCTTCCTAGTAAACAAGGCTCTGTTCTTCCTGCAGGTTGTGTTTGCTTCATAAGCACCTACTAAAGCTGAGTTTGTGCCAGTTTTGTACTCTTGAACTGTGTGTGTAGTTGGATGAAGTTCATGCTTTGCACTCAAAGGAAGGCTTATTTTTTGCAGCAGCTTCAAATGTATCTGGCTCAGGCCAGACTTAAAAATGACCAAAGTGGAAAAAAATTCTAAAAGAACAGATTGCATAAAGGAAGTGTTTCCAAGTTAGTTAGGAACGAGACCTATTTGTCAGTGTCTTGGGCTTTGACAGAACTTGATATGAAAAAGGAGGACCTTCTTTAAAACTGTTGAGCAAGACCTTGGAACAACCAATGGGAATAACACAGAGTGGAGGAAAGAAAGTGTAGAAAAGATCTTTGAAGTGTTTTCAGAAGAACTGTCTTTATCTGGGTGTAGATTTTATGTGTGTGTGTGTGTGTATATAATTTATATGATACGATATTTTCACATTCAATAACAAAGTGGCCTGTTCCATTGCTGACTGCTGGAAGAAATGGAAGACTGCAAAAGGCTCCCAAACCATCTCCTTTGCTACTCCTGCACTTACTGAGAAAAATCTGCTGAAAGGCATTTCCTGTTTTTTTCTCTCCTTTTTTACCTTCAGGTTTCTCAAGGGTGGACTCAAATACTGTCCAAAAATAGAAAAGCTTCTTATTTTATAAATACTAGAAAGTAAACTGAATTTGTGTCAGTTTGTTTTCATTGGTCGCTTTTCGTCTTTTGATTGTATTTAAATACTTAATTGATTTCCTCCTTTCAGGAAACCTCAAAGTACAAATGAACAAATGTGGAAATAACCTTTGTTGAAAGGTTGTTCTCTAAAATCATTGAATGGCTTTTCATCTTTTCCTGGTATGGTTTTTCTGAAGCCGCTTTGTTGAGGTGAATAACTTTGTGTGTCTGCAGTGTGCTCTTTATTTTGTAAATTTGGATTCTCATTATCAAGTTTTTGCTTAGGTGAGGTGCTTTGTGTGTTTTGATAGCAGTTTTTAATTCTTTGGAGCAGTGGAATGAGGTTAGATATAAAAAGTGAGATGGGTATCTCCATTTCTTGTGAAGAGTATTTAGGCCATCAATTTGTCATGTTAGGACTGTGACAGAATAGCTGTTCCAAACTTTTTACCTAATTTAGGTGTATATGTTCAGTTTGGTTTTGGTGGTTTTTTTGTGTGTTTGGGGGTTTTTTGTTATTGTTTATTCTTTAATAATTGCTTAAAAATAATGTTTATTTTATTTTGTTTGGTGGTTTTATTGCTGTTCGGGGTTTTTTTTAAATGTTTGTTTGGAAGCACAAGACTTGCAGCGAGTAAGCTCTAGGCTGATATGTACACTGAAATTAAGTCAGGCTCTGAGTAGACCTAACATCTTTGGTATTTACACAATGGATTAGGAGTTGGCAGAAACTTTGATGAGCCAAAGTGCTGTTCTTTACCATGAGTAGGACTTTACAAGTAAGATGTGTAAATAATATAATCTTATTTTGATGTGCCAGGTTTTATTTGCCTAATTTCCCACATGATGGAATGAATCTAGTCTTCACCAGCATGGATATGTAGACATTTTCAAGATGGTTAAGAGCTGTGGTGAAGAACCAAGTGGAATGGCAAGTGAGGAAACTTACATTTATTTCTAACTGATTCTTTTGCTATGTTATTTCTTTACCTGATGTAAGTCATCTTTTTAGATAAGAAGTCATCTAAAAACTAGAATCAGGTGGATGTTCTTATCCTTAGGAAAATTTAAGAGTTGAGCTCAGCTTGACAAGTTGGATACTTATTTAAGATATTAGCTGTGCTTAATCAGAGCTATTAAGTATATTGCTCAGTGTTAAAACTGCTTAAAGTGAGCAAACTACAAATTTTAATTTGAATTCTGATTATTCCTTTGTCAGGAGGAAGCAGATACTTCTGCTGACATCTGATTTGTATGTTAGAAAGATGGTTTCCTGACAGAAGAGTGCATTATTGTTTTTAACAGCAGATCTTTATTAAATGTGCCGTCAGTGGTGGTTTTGGAAAGATGAGAAAGGACCCACTGTGGGGCAACTCATTGAAGCTAAAGATGTAAGTTCTGTGCCATTGCTATTTTATATGTATTACAGATAGTGATTTTTTTTCCCAGCTTGTAAGTATATATGTGTGTATGTTTATTTGTTTGTTTTTTTAAAAGAAGTCCAAAAGTTTGCATGGACATTACATGATAAATATTTTATATAGTTTGAAATTAAGAAATTGTTGAAAGACCCTAAAAGCAAATCAAACTAAAAACTTACCACCATGATCCAATCAAAACCAAACCAACCTCTTTTATATGTATGGAGTGAGATACCTTAAAGTATTCAGAGAAATTTAAAAATGTATACAAATTGGGGAACTTAGTTCATATTGTTTGACTTTTGTGTTGTGTCAAGGCTAGAGACTTCATCTGTCCTTAGAAAATGAAGAGAAGTAATACTGATAAATTATTTGCCATTTGAACTTGGTCACAGTTAAACCATAAGTGTCTTATGCTGCTTAATGCTTTTAGTAAGCATTCAGTAGTGGTTAGAATACTTTTCTGGTCTGTTTGCTTAAAAAATAAGGTCTTACAATGACTTTGAAATACTATATTTACTGCTGATGGCTTCCTAATGCAATCTCCTTGATTTGAAGAGTTTAGTGAATACTTTTGGTATCATCTATAACTCAATTAGAAAGTAGTTTAGTACTTTTCTTCCTCTATTCTGTGTGTTCTGCCTGCTCTTGAATACTGCCTGTTTCCGTCTTTTCCTATACTTGAGATGTTATGTGTAACAGGACTTGCAATCAGAGAATGTTTTTCAGCAGCATGTCCTTACAGGATTGATCATGATAAATGATTCAAACACTAACAACACTTGAAATGTTCTGCTTAAAGTCTATTGCTTCACAGTTATGTCAAGGTGCGTGAATAACTTTCTCCCTTGCAGTATCTTTCCTTTGTCACTGAACCTCTTTTAGTGAGGAACAATCACATTTTTTTAGCACTGTTAATGTTGTTTAAGTTAGTTTTCTACTGGCTAGAGTTTGACTCAATTAGATACAGAAGTTTGAAAAAGACTGGCTGTAACTTTTTTTTTTTAATTGTTGAATACTTCATGACAGTAAAGAATGGTGTAAGGATGGTTAATCAGAGAGGGGAACAAAAAAAAAAGCATTATGAAAAAAACAGCTGCAATTGTCCTGGCTCAGTCTGGCCAACTAGCATTTTCCACTATGATTTCTCCTTTATTTTTGGAAGTCTGCTTCTTCCTTTTCCTGTGTATTGTTTTCCTTGTCATGCATTTCAGACTTCCTTGACCTTGTTATTGTTTCAGACATCCGTCTTATTTGTCTGTCTAAAGTCCATATACACATGATAGAAACTCCTGGGATCCTAGAGTTGTCTGTTTTGCTTTCATAAATTTCTATGACTAACAGTCTTCTAAATGTTCAATCTCTTGGTTGTTGGAAGAGATTCATAAAGGATCATGGAGAATTGCTGTTTGGATCCACATTAATCTAGCATTGTTGTTTGTGTGTCAGTGATCCACGGAGAGAAGGACTAAGTGAAAATGGAAGTGCTACCATTGATTTATCTGCATATGTTGAATTGATCATCACTGGCAAAATACCTGTCTTACATAAAAACCGGTATTTTATGGCCTACTCAGTAATTGTTATTGCTAAATAGTGACTCTTTGCTGCAATTAACTTCACATTTCTTAGCCTTACTAAGGTTTGCTAGTCTTCTGAATAATTATTTGTGAAAAGTATAAATTAGTTTATTATGATCATCACAAGAACTCAACAGAGCTTTGATACTGATGTAACAAAAAAAAGGAGGCCATGCCCTACTCCGTGCTTGTATTTCAATTAATAAGTGCTTTCCTTTTCTATACAAGGTTAATGCAGTAATTGCAGTTATTACAGATGCTGTAATGTTTTAACTAGATATGTTCAAAGGCTTTATGGCAGAAGTGGCGTGGGGGGTGGACAGAAGCCTCTTCTTGCTTTATGGTTTGTACAGTTGTAAAATGTTTTTAACTATTAAAAAAAAACTCCACACAGGCTGAGGCACTTCTGGATGTCACTTGGTTCAACCTAGCAATCAAATTAAGCAGGAGTGCCTGGAGCCCTGAAAGAGCCTGGTTCAAGCAGGGCAGACTGGTCAGGTTGTGAGAATATGTCGGGTTGCAGACTCCACAACCTCTTTGCCAGTGTTTGAACACTGAAGAACTTAATGCTTATTCATAAAATATCATGGGTGGGGGAAGTCATGAAAGACCTTTGAAAGATTGGTAACATCTGTTGTCTTCCAGTACTTTGGTAAGAGGAGTAGTTTCTGAATATTAACAGAATGTAGATGTTCTATAATGTTAACTGGTCCTCAGTAGCAGAGGAATATTTGTGAACTGACTGCTTAGCATTGCAAACTTTTTCTGGATTTCTCTTTTAAGCTACATTTTGTTTATTCTCCCTTCCAGATGCAGATTCAGTGTCTAGTTAACTGGAAGACTGCTCAATCTGTCAGCCACTTGAAAAGAAGAAAGACATCTAGAAAATGCTTTCCTGTATGCTTATGTATATTTTTTATCTTTTAGCTATTTAAATAGAAGACATGAAAACATGATTGTCTATTTTATTAAAATTTTTCTGATTTTTTTTTTTTTTTTAATTCCAGGTTTGCAGTTTCTGTTTGGTCTATCCCAGTTAGGAGAGTTTTTTGGTGATTTTTAAGCTTGGTGCTGTCAGCCCCATGTGAACTAACCAGAACAAAAAGTACTCTGGGTATTAGAAAACAAAATGCCACGAAAGAGGAAAACTGGTGGGAGTCCTTCTCAGAAGAATGGCAATTCTGACAGAACTGCTGGTGCTGTATTCCAGGGGCACTTAGTGGCACAAGCAATGCATTATGTCAATAAGGAAGAGCTCTTCAACAGCATGTCAGAGATGTTTTCTGACCTAGATCCTAGTGTGGTTTATATGGTTCTGTCTGAATGTGATTTTAAAGGTAAATAATGTACAGCTGACATTACAGTTTTGTTTCAGCAGACTGCTCTTAACCAGTGCAACTCCAGAAAGTTGGTGTAGGTGTTACAATCATATTTGTGAGTTTATTAATAAGTAGGTGAGTTTATAATATTTTGAAATTTTACAACCATATAAGATTCTCGAAGTTTAACAATGTTTCTGTGAGGCTGGTAAATGGAGCAGTGTACTCCATAAATGGAGATACTGTTTAGAGTGGATTGTTCCGTGACACACAGCAGGCAGTGGTGGAGTTGTGAGGAAAATCTTGTTTTTCTAATTAGTTTCTGTGCCATATCTGCAAGATGCCTAAACTGTTTCTGCAGGAGGGGTATTTTATGTTCTAGATCAGTTTTTTTGATGGTATGCCATGTGTGGTCATGGCAGCATTTTCTTTTCCTTACATACTTGAACTGAGCTTTTGTTGTACATTTATTTTGCATTGTCATCTTGTCATGTTCATGGAGGATTAGTTTCTGCAGGATGAATTCTATTTGCCGTGTTTAGTTCTCTGCAGCCTTGCTGTAGCTAAAGCAAGGAGCTAGTTGCTTTCCTTGCATTCTGCTGACCTACCCAACTCTCCCGGCAGACTGTTCTCACACTTATGCCCAGTCCCTCCTGATCTTTTATGGTTTTAAAATTCCTCTATATGCAAGATCATTTGCTTATGATAAAAAATACCGCATGAGGAGTTGGATAGTAATGTCTGAGTAGTTACTTACTAGGGGAATAAGCCATATATGGAGCATTTTAATCAATTTGTATTCTATGATTAGATATGATTAACTGAGATTATTGTAATAATGTGTACAAAGAAAACAGATTTTGGCATTTTTTTATGTGTATGAAAGCTAGGTAACCATGAAGAACAAACATGAGAGTGCTGTTAAAATTGTTAATTTTAAAATTGAATTTTATGGAATTAGTGATTCATGCTTTGAGCTCTTAAAAAGATTCACCTTTATCATAGTAACAGTTTTATCTAAAGCATATTGGAGAATGCAGTAAACATGTAGAGTATAGCCTTGTCCTGTTAACAGTAGTTTAAAAATAGAAAGGTTAGCATATTTGAGTGCTAAAAAGTTGTTTTCATGCAGTAGAGAAGCTGGAAGGGTGACAAAGATTTTGTTTAATGTGTGCAGACAGAGTCATACTTAAATGAGCTTGAAGTTTTTGCTACACTGTCTTTCAGGAAAATGGAAGCTTAGCTTTAGGGCTCAGATGATGTTTGTGCCTACTTTTCATTTTGTTCATGTTGATCACTGGCACCCTCTGCTCCATTTACTGGCTTTACAAAGAATTAAAGCAGATACTGGATTTTTCAGGCTATATTAGATTGGACATTTGAAAGTGGGCCATAGTGAACATACTTTGCATACTTCTATCTCTTTCGTCATTTTTAAGATTTTAGTTAATTTTACACTATTACAGCTATATGAGATAGATTAGAAATAAGTATCTATTTAAACATCCAGCTCTGATACTTTTTTCCAATTAAAAGTAGTAATTTTTAGACAGCATTTCCTTAGTAATTTTAAAATTTATTAGGTTGTAATTTTTCAGTATGCCTGTATTGAGTTTTGCCTTTACTTCCAATGAGAAATGGATCAAGTGAATTTCAGTAGCTATGTTTAAAGGTGAATTGGTGAACGATCTTTTGGTTGTTTCTTTAGTTGTAATAAATGCTTCTTCAAGTTACAAAAAATTGAATATTCATCAGTTTGGGTTTGTTCAGTTGACCATGCTTTATTCTGTTTATCTTACCCAACAGTAGAAAATGCTATGGATCATCTTCTAGAGCTGTCTACCCATGCCAAAGGAGTAGCATCTTCAAAAACCTTGGGTTTTGATTTAGCAGCATCATCATTACCTCTTGTTAATCAGCAAAGATCTATTGCAAATGAAAGAATGGGGGAAGGTACTGCAGCACATAGTTATTGTGGAGCAGCATTAGAAAAGGTCCTGTCACCTGGCGTGCAGCTGACTGGAGAACTGGATTCCTTACTAGAAACTACCTTCCAGAGTTACAGCTTGGGTGAAGAGTTGCCTGATTCTGCAAATGGCCAAATAGTACATGAGCGCCCTGTGGAACACGATGGTTTTACTGAATTTTCTGAATGGGAAAAATCTGATTCAGTTTGCAATGTCCTACTGTTTCCACAGCAAGCAGAGACAAATAATGAGGTTTTAGAAAACTTCTGCTGTTCCCAGCCACCAGTGAGTCAGCTGAGCATCCAGACAAGCTCACCATCTGCATCAGACAGTTTTGCACAGATACTGGAAGATTCTGATTTGTTTGAAGTACATGTTCACCATGATGTGGATTCAGAAGTACATAAACTATCAAATGGAGAAATACTGTGTGCAAATTCTGATCAGACACAAGATACTGTTTTGGATCAAAGTAGTGTGACTCCTGCTTCTTGTGGGTCCTCCCAAAGACCTGTGGAACATGGAGTAGCTGTTACTGGAGATCCTGATTCAAGGTGCCTGGAACAAGATGAAGATGCAGTGACTGCCTTAAGCAGCTACCAGAGTGCTTCTCTTTCAGAGGCGTGTATCTCTCCTGAGACATCCAGTTTCAAAACACAAAAATCTGCAGATATTCAGCAGACTCAGCAGGGTTATAACTTAAATTTTCCTACACCATCAGGTCAATCTCAGCAACACTGGAATCTTATGGCTCCCGTGTTTTATCCATCCAGTGGAAGTCACAGCTTTGTAATTCCTGTGGCTGCCAGTCCAGGGCAGTGGGGACCTGTTTCTGACTATAGAACTTCGGAAAAAGGACTTTTTCTTTCCTCCCCAGTGGTTTCAAATGCCTGGGATGGCAACCCTTCTCTGAAGGTATGGGGAAGTCAAGATAGAAACTCAAAATTGAACCTCTCGCAAGCACAGCAACCACGTGTTTGTCACATGATGAAAAAAAAGATGCAACTTATAGGTCAAGTACTTGTTCTTCTCAGAGGTGTTCCAGGATCAGGAAAATCATATTTGGCAAGGTAGACCATTTATACTGTGAGCTTCTAAAAAAAATTGCTTAATCTTGTACAGGACTTGGCACAGGCAGAGACAATTTTCTGACACTTGTAAATAGTTACGCGTAAACACTAATTGTCAGCTACACAGTACACGCGGTGTGATGGGTAATAATAATTGCTGAGAACAGAGTTGCTTGTAGGTCCTTTCTTAGTGGAAATTGAAATAGGAATGATGAGCTTTAACTTTTATCACTAAAAAAAGGAGTTTGTCAGCAGAGCATCATTGCTGTAGTGTTAGGTCTGCTGTATTCTTTGAATCCCAGTTTATTTAGAGTGTTTTCTTCAAATAGCATTGATGGAAATATGCCAGCTCTTTCCAGGCAGAGACTCCCCTTTAACTGTGTGACTTTTTCTGTATGAGTAGTATATGTGAAGCTTCTTGGGAGGAATTTTTGATTTCTTATGCTCTAAAAGCCTAGATTGAATTTAGACTCCTTTTGACTGACACCTGAAGAATTTGATACAATTAAGACAGGATATTTGTCAGTGTGAAAGTATGTCACTTCATGTAGATGGAAAAATACCTCCCTTGTTATTTTGAAACGAGAGACTTGTAGGGAAACGGTAACAGCTCTCTCCCCTAGATAATCCTCAGCCTTTGGGAAAAACAAAGGCGGGAAATTGTTATAGATCATACTTGCTTGGAGGTTGATTTTTTTTTTTTCCCTCTTACCTACATTTGCTGCTTCCATTCCAAATAACTTTGGTTTTGTGCAAGAGACTGAAAAAAAGTCTGGGAGGATAAGGGGGAAAAAGCTGTTTATATCTTGATCTTTCACAGGAGTTTGCTTGAGGATAACCCTGATGGAATCATTCTTAGTACTGATGATTACTTTTACAAACATGGACAATACCATTATGATCCTGATTGCTTAGGGGAAGCACATGACTGGAACAGGAAACGAGGTGAGATATAAATAAGGGATTAGCTTGCTCATTTACAGTTCAGTGCTTTAAAAATCTGCTTGGCTTGTTAGGTGACAAGTATTTATCCCATCATAGAAGTATTTTTTAATATGTGTGGAAAAAGAACATGAGCAGAAACTTGGAAGTCATCTGTTCATTGTGTGTTTTGCAATTAGAAATGGCAGTGTCTGTCAAAAGTGTGTTCTGTCCTCAGTTTTTATCGTGGTATGTGTTTTGGGTAGTGTCCCATTTCCAGAGTCGTTAACTACACCATCTCCCAGAAATGTTTCTTCTGGGATGATCCATAATATGCATATGCAGTAAATAATGAGGATACAAATAACATAAAACTATCTTCCTGCTCTTCATTATCTTTTCTGTTGTACACAAAATTGTTGTCAAATTTAAACCAAATCATAAGGGTAAGACAGAATATATTATTTTTTCTATTTTTCATAATTGGGTAGGTTTTTTTTGACAGCATCCTGTGCTAAACTCACCATAAAACAATTATTTTTAAGCTTTTACTTGCTAAATTTGAGCCATGGTCCCTTTTCTGCTGTCAAATTTCTACTAGTGGAGAAACAAATTAATGAAGGTGGGATTCAACAAGAACTGTGATTGTTCAGACACATTGTAACATGGCTACGGAAACATGGTACTGTGTCTCAAAGTTAGTGGTTCTATACATTTCATTACTATGTATTTAAATTGCAATAATTCTTTTGGTTTTTCATATTTTATACAGTTTACAGAGTGGACTAATCTTAAGACTGTTATAAAGCCAAGAATTTTGTATGCAACAAAGAAGTCCACTTTAAGGTGATCATGTAGTTTTTTAGTTTAATTTACTGATTGATTAGTCATCTTGGTACATTTTACATCTGCATTTTCATTCCTTGATTATCATACATACGTTAATTCAAAAGCTGATGCCATATGTCAGTAGCTTTACATGTGAGGGGGGGATTTTTGAAATAGAGGGCCTTGAAACAGATCAAGCTATGGCAAGAGTTCTTTACACAGTGGTTAATCATTATGGATTATCTCTGTAAAAATATAACAAATTTAGAGAGAAAGAGTATTAATATTATGTTCATCCTATTGTAATGAAATTAACTGTATTGCATTGTTTTGTACATGTGTATCTTTCAGCCAAAGAAGCGTTTGAAATGAGAATCTCTCCTATAATAATTGACAACACAAACATACAAGCATGGGAGATGAAACCTTATGTTGCTTTGGTTAGTATTAAAATTTGACCAATGTGAAAAAAGATTATTGACTATCATGGCAACAACATATGTTTTAAAATGGGAGTGTCTTTCTCAGTCTAGCTGCTATTCCACAAGGAAGTCTGGAGTAAAAAAACACGTGTTGCATGGTATCATATTGCCCCTGTGTCATGTTGTGTTATGTGACTCAGTGTCAAGTGTCATGTGGTATATGAGCATTAACCTGACCTAGATACCAGAAGCCAAAGCCAAGTACTTTGTTCTTGGGGCCAAAGACAAATGTTATTGAAGATACTGGATTTTGTTCCTCTTTTTTATGATCACTAAAATTAGAAGCTACTTTAAAAATGTAATCAACACTAACAAATGAGTGATGTGTGATGCTCTGTACAACTTGAAAACTCAGTTTCATCCTAAGTATGATGTAGAGGCAGATACCAGTTGGAGGCTGGAGTTACCAAATATTGCTAGATTGCTTGAAGTTATGCAGATTTACTTTTTTTTTATTGTTTTAATACTTTTTGTTGAAGTGATCCTACCGTTTCACTTAGTTTCTAAATGGGCATCAGCACTTTTAGAGTCTAGAGCTTATTTTTTTATTGATTATTGACCATATTGGTTGGTAGTTAGAACAGCATTATTTTATGAAATTGGTTCTAATTAACTGAAATAATACATTGCAAAAAAGTATTATAATGTAGATCTGGGTTTTCTCCTTGCCTGTTACTGAAACACAGCAGAGTGTAGTACATAATTGACAGCTTTTGAGCAGATACCCTACATATACTGCATGTGCTAATGGATTAATTAACAGTGAGACTTTAACACAGATAATTTTTCGTTAATAAAATGTTTATTTTATTATCCTTACATTTATTAATTTGTTAATCCGACATTTGTCAGATTAGCAGTTCTTTTATATCTTTCATTTTGCTGTATACTGAAATCAGGATGCAACAAGAGTTCTTCCAGAAGTGCAGTGATAAGGATTGTTTCTGAAAACAGGAACGGGGAGAAACAACATGGTACTTGCAGTGTTTCTCCTGATTAGACTTTAGGCTCCTTTTCTGTCATGATGAGACTGGACTATATAGGAACCATTTACTTGTAGCTTGGTCTAGTTTCCCATGTGGTTTGAAGGCTGTCCACAATAGCTGAGCTAATGTAACTGAATTGTTTTGGAGCTGGTTCACATCTGGTTAGCTGTGAATGTAAGCTATGTGCTTTCCTTTATCTTGGAGAGGCTGTATAGACATGTGTATATTGTATCTGGAAAGAGGAGATGTTTTGCAGTATTGTCTCAGAGAAGACACATCATGTCACACATTTAATTTTATTGTAAGAGGTACATATACAGTTTTAAAAAATCTCAGTTTATATAAGCCAAAGTGCAACATTGGAAGAAAAGCATTATTCCAAATGTTTAATAGGTATCAAAAATACAAAAAACAGCTTTGAGGAAGCAAGCTATGCATGTAGTATGCTTTGACATAGAAATAAGAAATGGGTGATGTGGCATGTTCTGTTTTATATCTTTTATTCAGGCTCAGCAGTTCAAATACAAAGTAATGTTCCGAGAACCAGACACTTGGTGGAAGTTTAAACCAAAAGAACTTGAAAGGTAAGAATGTAAAGGAAATTGACATGCTGGAGAGTATAAACTATGATTTTTAAAAAGGTATTGCTTTTTTAAACAGTACAATGGCTAGTGAAGTAGCAAGGTATCTGTCAAATTTTTTGTGATAAGTTGCTTTTTAATGATATTTTGTGGACTTATATATGTATGTATTATAAGATCTTTTGCCACTTCAGTTATATGTAAAAGGAACTGTTAGCAATAGCCACTGTGATGTTTTCATTACTAAAGTTCTTTACATGTAAGGTATAGTGACTGTTCCTTTGGGTTACTGAGGTTGCAAAAATTACATCACATTGGGGCTGTTCTTGCATCCCGGTCTGTTGCCTTAGTTGAGGTGTTTCTGCTGTCATGGAATTTTGGGCAGTCAGCACCTTGTGGCCTAAGAGGGACAAACCTCTGTGCATCATTGTTATTTCTTACCTCTCCTTAGCAGGACCTTCTATTACTTAGGGCTGAAATTGTCAAGATATAAATGCTATGTAAATGAATAATAAAACACACAAAAACATAATGAGAAAATTGGCTAGATGCCAGGTTCAAATGTTATGATCAGTGTGCAAAGTGAAGGCTTATGTCCCTCTGGGGAGAGATTGCAGCTCTTTAATGTCCTTTTTATGACTTGGATGCTGGAACAGAGTGCACTCTTAGCAAATTGCAGGTGATATGGACTGAACAAGTGTAGTTTATTCAACCTTAAGCAGAGATCATTGAAGAAGAACCATATTGTTATAATCAGCTACCTTTTGAAAGGTTATAGAGAAGACTAAAAATAATTGTGCAAGGATAGGACAAACCAAACGTCATCAAGTTGGAACTTTTGATTACGTAAAAGAAAAAAGCTCAATGTTTACTTAAAATTGGTTAGGTACTGAAAGAGTTTGCCCCGAGAGTTTGTAGACTTTCAGTCATTTCAGGTATTCAAAATCACAAAAAAAAGCTCTCAGCAACTTGATGTAACTGTACTTCCTCTGAGTAGGAGACTGAAGTTTGGAACTTCAGAGGTCCCTTCCCTTCCTTGTAGTTTTATAATATCTGTTGTCATCTGAATTTGCATTAGCTTAACGTTGACTGCTTTTTAAGTGAGGTATGGTAGACTATTTTCCTTTTTAAAATAAAAGTTAAGCCTTTTCTTCTGTATTTTCAATTTATCTTTTACTATCCTTGGCAAGATTCACTTGTTTTAGGTGGAACTGCAGCAGAACACAGTGCTAGTTGGTACTTAGGTAGTGAAACTTTCTGGCCAAAAGGTGACCAGAGTAATAGGTGAATAGGTTTTCTTCAGGGCTCAACTAGTTCTGAGTTAAGCAAAACCAAAGAAAGAAAACTGAATTCAGAAGTCTTCTGTACTTAGTTTGAGATCCTGCATCCCTGTCAGGATCTGTTATAGTGTGTTTTTTAAACTTACTTGAAGAAGATGCATTATTAGTACAGTTTTAGCATTTTAGTATTATGTAAAATATCCAGTTGCAGTACAGAGAGACCAGATGGGGTGGAGAAGTGGAGCAGCAATTTATCTGATGTTTCCTGTTAGCAACACCTTAGTGCACTGTTACAGAAAGAATTGCTGTCTCACAGCTTTTAATCTGTCTCCCTGAATTCTTTGGTTAGTCTTACTGTAAATTTATTAAATTATTATTAAATTATTCTCTTTTGTCATTGTAGTACACAAATATGAAATGTCTTTTTTGGTTTGTTTTCAATTCATAGGAGAAACATTCATGGTGTATCTAAAGAAAAGATTAAAAGAATGTTGGAACGTTATGAACGCTGCCTTACTGTAAGATCAATATTGGATTCTTCAGTTCCAGACAAATCAGAAGCTGCTGGTTGGAGTGAAGATTCTTGTCAGGAGGAAAGCCAGAGGTTAGATTCTTTCATTAGCTTTGTAGCATTAAATAAAAGGCTAAAAATGCAGCCTTTTAGTGTCTTAGCAACAAAACCAGGGAAATAGTGTCGAACAGTGAATGCATTAAAAAAGACAGTTAAGTAACAAAAAAAATCCCTACATGGTTTTCTTAATTTTTAAGAATTTCAGGATTTTATGAAATGAGCAGTCAAGGGATCTAGTCAACTTTCCAATGCTTTTCGAAAGCCTCCCATTAGAGCTGTGTTATTTATCAAGAAGCCAGTCTTGACTGACTTTCTATTATCGTAGAAATGTGTTGTTGAATGTATGCTGTAGATACAAAGCACTATCTATAAATTGTTTTTTAGAAGAATGTAGTCCCAAATAAGAGCAAATTGCTATTTCCAAGTTTGTATGTTGATATTAGATAATGTCTTTGTGGTAGAAGGTGGATTCTTTGTGCAGTAGTGACAGGTTACCTACTTGCTCTTCAAGTGTACTCAATTTAAATTTGCCTAGGTTTCCATTGGCTGCATCCACAACTGTTCTGTTAACTGTTCCAGTTACCAGTCTGGATCGTGCTGTGTAGTGCATTGCCCAGTGTCGTGGCTCAGGAGTGGCACTCCCCAGTTCAGTGCCACTGCTGAGACTCCCAAGCCATGCACTGCTCGTTTGTTCCCCCTTCCTCTTTCCATGCATTCTCCAGCAACGAAGTGAGGTGGTATAGAATAACCTCTGTGTTCTGGACAAAACTAGGACACACAGGAAATCAAATTTTATTTCAGTTATTATTTCACTTGGGTTTTGCATGTGTGATGTATTTGAAATGATAATTAATGGAATGTAGTTGATTGTGAAAAATGGTTTGACAAGAAAAGGCACATTCTCTCCTAGTTCATGTCTAGACTGTCTTTAGAATTAAGCCAACAGGAAAGAGCAACAGTCATTAGATAAAAGTATATTTACCAGACTTACTGATCTGAATGAGGAAATCTCTGGCAGCCAAGTGCTTTAATTCAAAACTGAATGCTGGAAATGGGATGGGGTAGACATCGACTCCTGAGAAAGTATTCATAGCTCTGTGCTCTGGTAAGAAGGGGGCACTTAGTAAAGAAAGTTCATCTTTATCTCTTTTTTTATTGAGGAGTGTTGGAGTTACAACTACATCATAAATTTGTTTTCCTCTCACTAGAAGTCTAACTAGGTTAAACTCTCTACTCTAGTTCTAACTGGAGTTAAAAATATGGACAAATGCTTTAAGAAGGTTTGAAATGGGTTTATATTTCATTCCAATTTGTCTTTCAGAAAGAGAGAGGCACATTCAGATATAAAGGAAGAAGAATGTTTTGCTTCTGAGGTGGATCCTATTGAATTAGCTGAAGTTGATAAAACTTCTCCCCATGCTTCTTTAAGATTAGAAAGTAGTTGTGATCCTGAGCATTTTCAGAAAGAGGAAAAAGAAATGGAAAATAACTCAGTGGAACACAATTCTGAGAACAGCACTGTTTTAGATGACTTGGAAATTAATTTATCAGATGGCATCCAAAAAGAGCTGCCTTTGGAGAAGAAAGAAAAAAAGGGATTAAAACCAGAAAAAAATACTGAAGCAGAAATGGATGAGGTTGGTGTGATCTCAGCTGAAGAAACTGTGAACTTACACACAGGTGGAGCTGAGGAACACAGTGATAACAGCAGTCTCGAAGTTCAAACTGCAGCTGAACAACTGGAACCAAAATCAACACAAATGAGTAACACAGTGCAACCAAGCAGTTTGGCTTTTGATGCATCTGGAAAACCAGAACTACTAAACTTTCTGGGTGACTGGCCCATGGAACAAACAATGGGACAGAGAGTCAAAAGATCTAGAAGACTAGAAAAATCTCCTCTGAAGAGTGATAAGGAAGGTGAAACTCCCAGTCAGCAGCATTCTGAGATAGGTAAAGAGCAAGTGAGCCTGCCTGAGACATACACTTCTGAGAAAGGACATGAGAATGAAAATCTACCTTGTAGCTGTGTTAGTTCAGATGAGGTTACACCAGAATTGCAAATGTTAGGGTATTGGCCTGTCTCAGCCTCATTAGAACAGAGACAACAAAGGTCAAGGAGAGTGAGAAAGACAAATTTAAATCAGTATGATGAAGACAAAAATACTGAAGACAGCATTAATATGAATGCTCTTGAAACTGTGCATGTGATTCTTGGGTCATCTGTGAACACTGAAGAGCAACTAGATAAAAGGAATTTACCTGTGCACCAAGAGGAAATAGCAGCTAGTGAAACAGTAAGTGAGGAAAAATCCCAGCAAAGTAAGAGAACAAGGAAACATCACAAATTAGCCCTCACTTTTACGAACAGCAGCTTGCTGCATCCCAGAGAAGAGGACCACTTGTCTAAACTTAATGTGGCAGAAGAGATACAGGACATAAACTTAAGTAGGCAAAAAAGTTGCCATTCACAGACTGAATCACAGGACTTTGCTCTCCTTTGGAGACTAGAGAAGAAAATGCTTTTTCCTGAGACAACAAAAATATTGCATGGCAGGCTAGATGGCTTCAAACCCAAAGACATGGATAATGCCTCGGATTCTCAGGAAAAAATACCCTATCGAGTTATGTATGATAAAAGTACTTTTGTGGAGGAAAGTGAACTTATCAATATTGATGAGTCTGAAAAACTAGATACGCTCTGTAAACTCTTTGAGTCTGTTTCATTTGAAGCTTTGAAAGATTTGTATGAAAGATGTAACAAAGATATAGACTGGGCCACAGGTCTACTGTTAGACTCTGATGAAAAGGTATGTAAAGCTATTGACACTGAAAGCTTTCAGGTAAGTGAAGCCGAGCCAGTGGTCGCAGACCTTGATTTCAAGGCAAGTACAAACTATGATGAAAATCTCAAAGACTGCAAACAAACCCCACAAGTTTTTGGGACTGGTGATATCTTTGAGGCTTTAGAAGGCAAGAACTCATCACTCAGCATTGCAGAAAGTAGGGCTGCCAAGATAGCTGTGACAAGTACTGATGTGTCTGACTCATACACTGCTACCTCATTGGATAATTCAGTGGAACTGAAAAATTCTGTGGATTCAGCCCCTAGAACTGACACAAGCAACTCAGCAGCAGGTGTCATTGAGCTGTCCATTTCAGGAAAGCAGAAGGGAGAGAGTGAGAGTCCTCTTGAAGAAATTGTAAATAAACCATCACTTTCACAACTTGATGCAGGTTTGCCTCATGATCCTAACATAACTTCTACCAATTTGACATCTGAATTAAACAATGAAAGTGACAGTAACCCTTCAGAAAGCAGTGCTGAAAATTCCAAAGGGACTGGTTTGTTACTGGAAATGGATCGTGCATCTCTGGTTGGTCCTAGGAGCAATAAAGAACAGGAGATGGATAAAGAAACTCAGAAGAATTCCAGGGAGATAGGTGGTAAAGAGGAAATTAAAACTCCAAGCTGTCCTGCAACTAAAGCCAAGAGACAAAGCCCTATACCAGCATCACATGCAGCCTTCAGTATAGATTGCCTAGAACTAACATTGCCTCCTGAACTGGCACTCCAGCTGAAAGAGATATTTGGACCTGTTGGCATTGATGCAGGTATGATGATTTTGATAGGAAAGCTTTCTTTTTTTGCCTGTGCTTTTTTCCCTTCATGCTTGATTTTTAGGGAATAGATCCCTGTAATTCCTCATGATACTAGTGGTTGATGTTGTTGATGCAGAAATGAAACTGAACGAAGCATGGCATAAGATATGAGTGCCATAGTGCTACCTTCTCCCTCTGTCCTTTTGTACATGCACATACTTCAAAATAAAAAGAAAATACACTGGCTTCTTTGCATTCTGAGCAACAGGCCTTTGAGCTTATATTTAAACTCTGAAGAGATATTTAGATGATAAGGAATATGCTAATTGTGGCTGATTAGGAAAGAAGAAAGGGGAAAAAACCTTTTGGCGTCAGTTAACTTGGGGAACAAGAAGATGGATGGTTAAGGGAGATGAATGTGGCTGTGTACTTAAAAGATGTCAACAGACAAGTCTGCTGTCATGGTTAAGGAAGCCATAAGCAGCTTGAACATGCATCTCAGAAGTTAAAGAGTGATAGAAAAAGGAAAAAAGAAAACAGGAATATACAGCTTGATGTTATTCTCTCTTTTTTCCCGCACATTTTCTTGGTTTTTGTTTTGTTTTGTTTTGTTTTTTTGGTTTTTTTTTTTTGGTTTTTTGGTTTTTTTGTTTCTGCCTTTCATCTTGAAGACTGCTTTATGTGAAACCCTGGATACCTGATTTATTGGTGGGTTTGATTGCTGGCCTCTTTGCCTTAAATGCCTACCTCCTTAAAAAAAAGTTGGTTTTCTATAGCAGAAAAGTGTTTTATTGTGTCTGAAGTAAGCCCTAAGTTTTTATTTGACACATCCATACATCTTGCTTTTTTTTAGTTTTGGAAGGGTGAGGAACACTCATTTAAGGAAAAAGAGCTTTTGTTATGATACCATGATAATTTCTGCTGTTTCTTTTAGAGTTTGGGGGGATGCTTCGAGTTTGTTTCTCTGAGTTTGTGTGTTGGAAAGGAGGGATGTGACTGCTCTTGGGCTGTGGTGGGTATGTTGTAAAGAAAAGCAGTTGCCACGTGGGTTGCAGTGGAATAGGGGAATCACAGTTTCATGGATGTTGTTTTCAATTAACAACAGCTTTGTAAAATAAGGGTCTGCTAGAAAAATGGAAAATGGGGAAAAATACAGTTATCCAGGTAGTCATTAACAATATACAGTTAATGTTAACTTCTTTCTTTCCTACCCTATCAGTATTTTTGAACACCTGAAAACAATTTCTCTGGAATGCTTTTTTTTTTTCTTGTTTATATGTTTTTTTCAGGCATCAGTTTATGTAGACTCTCCAAAATTAAAATTTACTAGTCTAGGATACTTTAATTGCTTACATAAGTTTTTATAGAATGCTTTTAATGAATATATTCTCTTTGTTCCACAAGGATCACTAACTGTTGAGGATTGTGTGGTTCATATTGATCTGAATTTGGCAAAAGTGATTCATGAAAAATGGAAAGAATCTATTCTGGTCAGTAGGTTTCTTGCTTATGATACAGTGTGGCATGCCTGTGTTTTGTCAGACCATTTGTCTCCATAGGTCTTGGTCTAAAGGTGTTACCTTTGCAAGAACAATGATAAAATGTAATAGTAGTACGTGAAATGTGTGGTGTGTATCAATATGTCATAATCATTGGAGCTATTGAAAGACGTTTTAGGGGATGTCATGAGTGCCTCATCATGAAAACAAGATTCTTAAAAAAGAAGGATCATAATGCCAAATTTCACTACAAGATTGATAAAAAATTCCACTGGCCAAAAATCCTTATTTTTTTGACCTGTAAAAAGAATTATTTTATGAACTATTCTCTATACAAAACATCTCTGCATGCAATAATTGAGATGAGTTCCCTAACCTGTGTTCCTTCACAGCTCTGTGAAACTTGGAATACCTTTTGGCAAAATTTTTGTTTGGTTTATATAATTAAGACTATGAAGTCTTAGCAGTGGGGCATGTTTCTCTGGTTTGATGTGTTTTTCGAAATTTCTATATAATAAATATATTTTATATAATTCTATATATTCTAAATAATTCTAGCTTATAAATTTCACTTCATAGTTACTTTTCCTAAATATATTTCTTTTAAAGTACTGAATCTTTGAGAAATATTGTGAGAACTTATTTTGAAACTGCTTTAATTAGAAGCTACCACTTTCAAAGTTTTCCTGCAAAATTCATAACTTATAACATTCATGATTTTACTATTTTTATTTAGAAGCGTCAGAGGAGAGATGAATCATGTAAGTTGTCTGCAGAAGGTATGTTGTGTATTTCTTTTAATTGTAAAAGTACTTAATGTTCATTATAGAAGTATTTAATTATTTGAAACTTAAGGTTGCAAATACTCCATCTGTTGAAAAATGATGACTTTTTTTTATTAGGCTAAATTTTATTGCCTTTGGATCAGTTTACCAATCTCTTATGACAGTGTGGGGGAGGGGAGAGAAGTTAATTATAAGCAGAATCACTAATTCCAGATAAAGCCTATAATTTTGTGTCATTTGGAAAACTTAAGCTCTGGTTGAAGCAGACAGCTGTTTGGTAGGAATTATGAAGAAAAGGAAGCAAGAGAAGGAGCAGCCAGAGAATTACTAGCAAAGTAAGGTTTCTGCAGGTGAGGAAGGGAGGTCAGGAATACAACATCCACATGTTGTTCGTTAGAGGTGATTGTAGCAGGAAGATGGATGCCTTGTTCAAAAAGTGTTAACGTCTCTTGCAATCCAATTTTCATTGCCAGAAGAAATGTCCTTCTATTGCAGAACCCCACTGCAGCCTTGGATTGCAATGTGGGTGCAAACTTGTGACCAAACAATGCTGTTGGCATTAACTTGTAGAAGCATAAAACCAGATTGTTAAGCATCCGTCCTTAAGTTGGAGAAGAAAGGCAGGTAAACATACGAGTCAGTGACTCTTCTGTAAAAGTAAACAATCCCCCACTTAATGTATGTGCAAGGTGGTTTACAGCTGTAAGAATATATGTCTTAGCACTTGAAAATATGGTGAAGAAGTGTGATGGTTTTCTTTTGTTTCACGAAATAGATTAAGATGATCAGACAGTCTTTGGAAAATGGAAGCGAAGAAGATGAAAACAATGTGTTGGTTTCTGTTTTAGCATTAATAATCCTGTTTTAACAAAATTCAAACTGTACAGGTTGAAAAACTTGTCTTAATTATTTTGGCATTGCATGTATATATGAGCTAAAAAGTTTTTCTTCACTCTACTTTTACTGCTTTTGAATGTCCAACAGTGATTCAGCAGATAGATACAGATGACTCGGAAGTGCTGTTATCTCAGAATGCAGACAGCAAAATACAGAATAAAAAATCGAGCTCGGCTGCAGACACATCTAATGATATACAGACAAAAACCCCAGCAACATCAGACGTTTTTCCATTTATGGACCACTGGAATGCTCAGATTCAGAAAGTTTCTCTCAGGCAAATAATTTCTGAAGAAATAGCGATGCAGGAGAGAGAGGACCTGGTATGGATAGCACCTTTTTTTAATGTGGTTTAGATTCATTACTGTTAGTGAAATAGAATATGTCTTATTTGGTGACTTATCCCTGTGCTGCTAATCACAGCATGAATTTGTGAGACAAATGCATGCCAATTAGTATTGTTGATTACTGTGATAACAGGAGTTTGCTTGAGGTAGATAGTTCTATTTCAAAAGTCCAGTCTCATTTAGAATGTAATATTTTGATTGGTTCACATACAGATCGTGCTGCATTTCACTATCCAGGTTAGTATTTGTGTTTGGTTGAATTGTCTTTTGGTTGCTCAGCTAAAACCAAAGATCAGTGTGGTCTTCCATGCTTTTTATTGTGACAGCAATATCAAAAAAAGTTTGTAGTTGGCTCCATGCCTTGTTTGTTTAGAAGTGTACTGAATTGGTTGTAATATATTTTTTAGGAGAACTCACAAAATTCCTAACAGATGAGACATTAAAATAAGTACTTGAGGTTAATCTCAAACAAGGTTCTGTATCCACTTCTCAGAAAACAGTAACTCTTTAGTAGATTTGTACTAGTTCTTTGTTTTCCACACAGAGTTTCCATACCCTTGCCTGTTTGGCTTGTGCCTGATACTGCCCTCTACTGCCCCACCGATGTTCAGAACAGGCATTCTAATTTGTAGTAATCTCTGATAAGCAGCTGTCTTCAAGTAGAGGAGCTCTGAACTGGTGTAGAAAGTTCTTTGAATTAGCCTGTACTTTGAAAATGGCTTGTGGATTCTTTCTTTGAACTGCATGTATGTGCCCCACTGATAGCAGCTACTGTCATGTCCACAGCTTTATTTTTAGTTTGGATTCATGGAGCTTGGCTTTATTTTGACCACATTTTTAGTTAAAAAAAAAAAAAATCTGATTATTGGAACGATCAGTCCAATTGATTCTTGGCTATAATTATGTAATCTTTTCAGATGACTGCACAAGTAGGAATATTTATAATAGACACAGCTTCAGATACATTAAACCAAAACTGTTTATGCTGCGTAATAATAGTGTTGTTTCACCCCAGGCCTTCAGTATAGAGAAAAGAGGTGAACTTTGCACAAGCTTAGCACTGGACTGGATGGACTGGCAGGGAATAAATTCCAAAACTTAAATCCCTCCTAAAAATCCTCATTTCACTTTGTCCAAATTATGAGGGAGCTCCAGCTGCATTACTTCAAAAGACTGCAAAGTACTGCCATGGTGTTTAATACAACTCACCTGTCTTTTATGCTGATCAGTGTGGCAGCTGATATGGCACATCATTGCTGTGGGTGCATACCAACTGAATAGGTACTTTTTTAATCTTAAGAAATAATGACAAAGTTGGATTGGCTCCCCCTTTACTGTATTTTGTTCTAATCAAGAACTTGTAATATATTTCTTTTGTTTTCTGGGTAGAATCGTGTTCCTTCTACAGCTAGAAAAGACTGTGCTGCTAAACTAAAGGAGAAGCAACTTTTTGAGATGTTTCCAACTATTAATCAAAATTTCTTAATGGATGTGTTCAGGGACAACAAGTAAGAAATCATTTTACTTCTTTGTAAAAATGGTATTCAGTTACAGTCATAAATATTGAGAGCTAAGATACTGCTAAGCAATGGCTTTTTCCAAAGTAGCGCTTTTTGTTAGTCTAAATAAGGGCAAAACTGGCTGTTCTTAAAGGCAAAAAGGGTATAAAAACTCTCAGTTTAGACACATTTCTTTTTAGGGCAGAATAGACAGTTTTCTTTCACTGGGAGAAGAATGTCTCTGGCTATTGACCAGTTACTGACTGTCAGTGGAATTGCACATTTTCTCAAGAGCTGAGGTTTAAATCTAGTGGGAACAATTGCTGGGTGTGGTAGTAGTAGGTTCACAGGAAATGGCATCTGCCCAAGAGGAAAATATTACCATCCCCTGGTGTTACCTGAGTACTTCCCTGGTTACTACAGCTGCTCGGAAGGAATGAGCCATCTCTCCATCTCTTCCTGCTGACATTCTCTTTCTCTCTTCTGCATTATGTTTCTGGGATATGTGTCTACCTTCTTAAATCTAAGTTTCTGAGAAGTGAACTTTTTTTACAAGAGAAACACTTTTTTTATCCTTGGCCATTTGAATGTCTGTCTCTACATATGGGCTTGCATACCTACTTGTCAGTCATGCTTCTGGTCCAGGTTGTTATAAAAATATTTCCTATTTAAAATATATCCTTCATCCATTTCTATAATTTGAACATTTCACTCTCTCATTTTTCACATTCTAAATTGTCCTCATAGTGTTACTTTTCCCAAAATCTGTCTTTACTTTTGATCAGTCTGCTCTTGTTAGCTTACTAAAGAGCAAGAATAAAGAAGAAAAAGGGCTTATTAGAAAGCTGTTGGCGACTGATGTCGTAATTAAAGTTGATAATAAAGTTTGACTAAAAATACAAGGATTTTTCCTCATTAGGGTTTTAGAAAACTGAGCTAGTTTTAAATTAGTTGGAGCTATCTAACTCTGACCAGAAAAGATTTAAGGTGAACTATCTTACCCACTGCAAAGAGCAGCATTTATTAATATCTCTTTGATTAAGGTAGGAGGCAGTTTATTTCAGTGTGTCATTTTTCTTTTAATGTTCAAGTGCCCCTTGGTTATGTTTCAGTCAACCAAGCCTGCTTGTGTGTTGATGCCAGTAATGCCCTACAAGGAGTCTGCAAACCTTTCTTTAATAAGCTGGGATATTCCATTTCAGTGTCTATTTTCATTGTAAGCTAGCTCTGTAACAGTATCAAGGTTTGTTATAATGAGTTTAGATAAATATAGCAACTATTAATATATATTTGTAACATTACAGATTTTATTTCTCCTTCACAGCTACTCTTTAGAGCAAACTGAACAGTTTCTGAACTGTGTTCTGGAGGCAGATCCTGTAAAAACAGTTATAGCGCAAGAAAGTGTTCAGCAAAATGAAATTGTTTCTTCCTACAGTGCTTCAAAGAACCGTGAGAAGAAGGTATTTTCATTTTTTTTTTTAAACCATAGTTACAGACATAGCCAAAACTATGCTAATGAAAACACCTTACAATGCATCCGTAACTTCAACAATGCAAATTCCTACAGGCAAAAAAAAGTAAGGAAGAGGATGATCCTTTATGTGAAATGTTTCAAGACTTTGAGTATCCACAGTATGATGATTTAAGAGCAGAAGCTTTTTGTCACCAGCAGAAGAGACAGGAATGTTTGAAAAAGGCTGGGGAGGCCTATCGCATGGGTATGAAGCCTGTGGCAGCATTTTATGCACATCAGGTAAACAATAATATTGTGCTTTTCGTCTGAGCTTAGGGAGGCACTTAAACACTGGATTGGATGTGATGAGGAAAACATCATGCCTACAAGACTTGATGAATTTGGTTGCTGCTCCCTGTGTGTTATATTGAGAATCACTAGTAAATTTGCTTCCACTAGTTATGATACTGGCACAGGAAGCCAACGTAATCAAATTTGGTGCGAGACCTCATGAAAGGTGATATCTAGTGCTTAATCACACATACTTCTTTGTCTTTGATCTCTCTCACATCACATTATATCCTTGTAAACACCGAGATGTGTGTCCAAGTGGTCTGGGAAGGTTTACTGGGGTGTGACTTGGACTGCAACAAACATAATTTTTTGTATCCTCTGTATATGTTGGAGCTGAACTGTTTTTGGACATATCTTCTGTACTTTAAAGGAATCAGACAGGTGTTAAGATGTCATCTTTTGCCACAGAATCTTGCTTGCTTCATCCTTCATAAGTCTTGGGCAAGATTACTGCCTGTTGTCTTCACCTCTTCATTCTGACTGTCTTTATGGCTACAGTCTATATTGGGTTGGGATAAATGAGGTGTGTATGTCACGCTTTTCACGATACATCTGGTTATAGAGTGTAGATCTGCTGCTGATCGGTCTTGCATGCTCTGGTCTTGGAGCACAGGCTCTTTGGTCTTGATTCAGGCACATTTCTTAGTAAGTGCCAGCTTGAGAACTGCTGATCAGTGCTATTGATAATACTCTTGGTTTTAAGACTCATCTCTTGTAATCAAAGTTCCTGTGGATTGGCATGCTTAAAAAATCTGTTACAAATATCTTCAAAGGCCGTAGTTTTCCCCTGATCTAATAGCATATAAAAATTTGGTAAGAATTCACATAGAAGCATTTAATTCTAAACTTTGAATTGTATTATGACAGAATAAAAATGAAATAATAAATCACTTGAATTTGCTTTTTCAAAAAAGCTTTCATGCAACTGGTATAACTCTAAATGTTTAGATTGTTACTGTGCATGTTGGAAGTACTGATTATCAGTCTTTATAATGAACCTTTTGTGGTTTTTATTCATATATTCCTGAAATTTTGAGACAAAGGTGGATTTTAAATAGAAATATAATTTCAAGTCTTGTCTTATTTTTGTTCTTATCCATACGAACAAATACAATCTACTGAAATTTATTTATTATATATTTTCCTTAGGTAATAATAAGGCAAGCTAAGCTACCTTTATTCCTAAAACATACTTTATGCTTGGTAGCCTTTGTCCTGGGAATCCTTTGCAAGTGAGTTACAGAGCTGCTGTCTTGGGTCTGACACTAATACACTTCAGATGATCCATTTTAAGAAAGTGTGACAGACTTTCACGTTTGTTCTCTTGAGCCTTTCTCAGTCCAATACTCAGAGTTAAATCTTCCATTCCTTTTCAGACTGTGCCTACAGATCTTCAAGGACATAATTTTTTTTTTTAATCTTTGATATTACCATTGCGAGGTTCATGGGAAGGAGTTGGTACTTGTTCACTTTGTAAGGTGACTAACTGTACTGCTCCTTGCCCTCATTGCAGAAAGGACTTACTGACCTTGTCAGTCATAAAAGATGTCAAAAGTATTAGGAGAGATAATGGGCATTTATTATTATTATTATTATTATTATTATTATTATTATTATTATTATTACTACTACTACTACTACTACTACTACTACTACTACTACTACTACTATTACTACTACTACTAAATGTATTATTATTATTGTTGTTGTTTACCATTGGCTTGTCCGAAATTTTGGAAATGTGTTTGGAAGAATTAACCTCAAGTACAACAGTCAGCAGGCTTTTTCTAATCTGTTGGATAGTTTCTCTGTTGGACACTGTTTTATTATAATTTTAACAAAATACATGCTGGAAATAAAAATCTATTGTTAGGAAAATAAATTTTCAACTCAGTATGGAGTGTAACTTTCTAGCTTATGTAAAGATCTTGTGATTTTGTGCCTTTTCTGACTTTTTTTTCTCCTTGTAAAGCTTTTGTTGTATTTTGTTATAATGTCTTTTTTGTGCCAGCTTTGATTAGTTTCTCACAAACAGATTTCATTAAATCTTCCTATATGTAGGTCTCACTGAGCATCTTGCAAAAGTTCTGCTAGAATTATAAATGTTACTGGTTCAAACTTGAACTAAAAGCACCCTGCCAATGCTGTACTTTTGAAACCACTGAGTGGTGTGGAGCTTAAATTGTTTCTCAGTGTGTAATAGTCACTGTGCTTATGAATAAAGGGTCGCCTTCATGAGCAGAAGATGAAAGAAGCTAACCATGCTGCTGCTGTGCAAATCTTTGAGAGAGTAAATACTTCCTTGCTGCCTATGAATGTGTTGGATTTGCATGGTCTTCATGTGGATGAAGCTGTGAATCAGTTGTCCAGAGTGCTGCAGGAAAAAAGTGAAGGTAGGGTTTAGGTAATAATTTTTTCCCCCTAAAAATTATTCTCATTTTCTATTAAGAAATCAATATACATGACAACATTACATGAATGTGCTTGAATGACATGTGTGCTAAAAACAACTAGGTTTTGTGTTGACTTGTTTTCAAACTACCCCAATGGAATTGTTTTTCTTTGACATGACAGCGATTCCTGTTGCTTTCTGTCTTGCCCCCCCTCCCCCTGCTTCTTTGTAAATATTCTTCTTCCTTCTGTTTTACACTTTTTTTATTACTGTTATCGAATACTTGGTCTGTCCTTCCTGACATTTTTAACTGAGGTGATGATACAAACATATGTGTCACCATTGCATTGCTTTGTCACAACTATGTTGCTTTTATAATCTTAAAAGAAAAATTACTATGTTGGAATTCTAACCACAATGATGATATTGTCTTCAACTTCTACATGAAAGTGTGAGATTTGAGCTACCTTTTGGAAACTTCTTTATCAGTTTGTTTGCAGCATTGCTTGAGATCAGAATACTGCTGCTTCCAGAAAAGTAATTTTATGCAGTTACGCTTTTTAGTTTTATGCAGTTTTTCTCATAGTGGAGAGTTCTAGTATGTCATGAGTAGTGTCCATGCTGTAAGATGATACATTTTCTGCATTACTAGTTTACCCTCTAAATTTAAGCACACTGGGAATGCTTCTATAACATTTCTTACACAAGGTACTGCTGCACAAACCTGGTTTTTTGAATCAGCTAGTCCACTGAGTATAAATATAAAAGTGTTCAGTGTGGCTTTAGCTAACCCTTGTCTTTCAATATGCATCAGAGATAATTATCTTGTGCAATTCCTGCAATGACATTTGTGTAATTTAAACTGTAACCTAATGCTTTTTAGAACTAAATTTCTAGAACTGTACTTATATCAGGAATGCTGAATTTGATAGTAGGGGCTCTCTGTTCAGTCTATTCACCTAAATCTGAAAAAAAGAGAAGTTAATTTCACTGTACATACATGGGAAAAAGATCAATACTGGGAACTTTTTTGCTAGCAGAATTAACAGTAAATAGATATAAAACCTAAATGAAGTTACGGTGTTGGGGAGAGTAGTTGAAGAATCATGTGAACTGATAATTCAAAACTGGAAAATCTTGACTAGTTGTGAGAATCCAGTTTATTTTATTTTTTTCCTCTTTTTCAAACTCTTCATCAGGTTGCTGTTATCTCTGGGAATACAGCAATTTATTTTGTAAACAAAGCTAAGTGCTGTAATAAAACTCAAGGAATGTGTTGATCTGTTGATTTCCATGCTTCAACATAGTGGATAGAAGATAATCTAAATAATGTGATATAAGTGTCAAAAGCTGGATTTATATTTTACTTCTTAATTTCTTTATTCAGTAAAACATTATTTCTTTATTCACATTAATTTAAGATAAAACATGAAACAATACAGAAGCACCACTTAAAAACTCAGTGAATGACACCCACTTCTTTTAATTTTGCAATTTAAGTTTATATCAGAAAATGTAAATTCCAGTTGAATATTAGATGAAGAAACAGTAAAGCTTTTATGAAATTGGAAGGATTTTGTGATGAAGACAATATGCGTCTTGCAAGCAATCTAGATTTTAAAAGTTTGACTTTTTCACAATGGGGAAAAATTGATATTTGTATCTAAAATACGTGTATCAGCATGGGAAAACAAAGCTCTAAATGAGTAGTGAGAGTTTGCAGAAAGATGTGTGGAAGGGTTATATGAATATATGAAGGGACATGAATGCCATGTCTCTGCTGAGGAGGACTTTTAACCGTTACAATTCCTGCTGTTCAGAGTACCAGCAGACTGGTGGTAAACCATATCTCAGTGTTATCACGGGAAGAGGAAGCCATAGTCAGGGAGGAGTTGCTCGCATCAGACCAGCAGCTATCAGATACCTCACAAGCCACAACTTCAGGTGAGTTTAGATTTTTGTTACTGATAATTTTTTTTCTTAACCCACATTTAACTAACTGAAAATTGAAGTTTAGTTTTAGAATGCTGTTAAACTACTACACAGATTAAGACAGGTCTGCTGTTTCAGATTAAATTAAGTCAGTTGTTTCACAAATCTGATGCAGTAGTGTAGCACCTGTTAAATGTTAGATCCTTTCCTCTGAGATAGTTTAATTCCATATTTCCATTCAAGATTACTAGCTTTTCTGTGAAGAATTGTTAATCCTGCTTTCTGTTGATTCCCAATACTTGCATTTGTGCTCTTCTTATGAGGGATAGCAATTTAGTAAGTCTGGGCTGGCACTAGTGTGTTTGCTGCTTTTTATATAGAGCAGTGTAGGAAGGTGAGCATGAAGATGAGCCTCAAAACAGCAATGACTTCCCATTTCCTTCTTGACTTCTACAAAATAGAAGGGTGAAAATCCATTTTGAAAGAAGAAGGAATTAAAGTGGAACAGGAATAGAGGAACAGAATGAATATAACCAAGAATATTGGGCAGCTTTTTCTTTTCTCAAATCTTCATCTTAGTTTCTGCTTTTTCCAGGTCTTCATATCTCCAGACACTGAAAAATCCTTCTTTAGTGTCACATTTGAGGACATAATGCTGATTTCCTAACTCTCACATGCACATATACTTGACTGAGAACCTTACCACTTCCCATGTGTTTGATGAGAATTGAAGGTGATGGCATTGCATATAGTTTACATGTTGAAGCTTCTTTTTTTCTTGTTTCATAGGTTCACAGAAATAAAACCAGGCTGCCTGAAAGTCATGTTGAATTGAGAAGTTTTGGAAAGAGGAATATAGAAACTGAGGTGTCATATGACTGCCGGGTAACAGAAAAAAAGCATGTTTTGAACAACTGCACTGGTATTTTGTAATCTGTTTTAAAGGATGATATTTTATTGGAACTGGTCTCAATTTAGAGCAAGTGAATTTGTCAGTATGTTTCCAATAAATTTTTGTGTGAAACAGATCCTTTTTTGAACCTGCATAAGGAAGATATTAAAAGGATTTGAAATTCTCAGAAATGCAGATTAAGAATTTTGCTGAGAAATATACTATGTTTTTAAGGAAAGTTAAGGTACAGTTTTTAATACAACTGTCTTCTTAGCATATCTGCTCTGCCTTTTGACCCTTGCACATTTTGATTGCTGTGGCTTCTGTACCTCTAAAACATATTATCCTGTTCAAAGTTATTTTGTAATTCAGAACCCGAATGTGCTAAACCCTTCAGAAGAGCAAAGAAGAGGCTGAAACTGAGCAACTACCGGTATTGCAAATCCAGTTACGTCTGAGTGCTGAGTATTTCCAAGTTTCTTTAAAAATCTGGTGTCTTTTTAGTGGTTATGTTATGATGGGTTAACCAGTTCTGTTATACTTACTTAACTCTAAACTTCTCCAAATATTGAAGGAAGCTGCATATATGGCCTATTCCTGAAGGCCAGCCATGTGTTTGGTAATTTGGCAGATTCAGTTTGATCTCTTAAAGGGAAAATGCTGTTATTCAATCTCTTTTGGAGATCCGCCTACTGGATTAAAATAGTTTCTTTGTGGCTTTTTAAATGCAGCAAATGGAGTACTGTTTCACTTTACAAGTGTCTAATAATGATGTCTTCATTCTCTGTGTATTGTTTGGTGATTTCCTTGTAGAAAATATAATCATGAGACATTTTCAATGTATTTTTAACATCAAAGTGAATGCTAATATTGCAATAGTAATTACCTAACTGGAATATCTGGGAGTACAAAAGTTACTCTGATTTTGGTAGTGTTGCATCAGCATCTAGAAATACCTGTTTAAAAAACTAAAACAATATAAAAAACCCAAACAAAACCCTTCAAAAATTAATTATAAACATCTGTACTTATGCAAGTTTCCAGTAAACAATCAGACCACTTTTTTAATAGAAATATCTTCTAGAATGCATTGCTATTTTTATTTACATCTTTGCCTCCTGAAAGGCAAATGAATTTTTGTTCTAACGGTTTTTCAGAGCAGGTGTGAGTTGTGTATTAGGAATAATATTAATAGATTAAGGATTGATGTGAGGAGTTTTTTAATTTTTAACCACTTTGCACTAAATTTTATCCAGGAACTACATGCACATAGAGTTTGTATATGAACCCATATGTGTGTGCAAGTTCTGCAATTTGTATGCATGAGTACTAATAAACAAAGAACTTCTGTGAGAAAAGCTGTCCACAGAAATAGGTTTCACTTGAAAATGTGTCTGTAATAAGTTGCTGACAGGCTGAAAGACATGATGTTTCCTGAATATATCTGTATTTACTCTAATACATACACAGTGAATATGATGCATGGTAGACTTAAAAATGAGTTTGTCGTGCTTCAATGGTAATCTTTTCCAGGTGATTTCAAGTGGAAGAATAGCTTGAATTATACTTAATCAAAGGGACTTTTTCTATAATAGACTGCCATAATAAGTTTTATATCTTTTTGTGGGTAGTTATTTCATCTGAATTGTGTCCTTTCTCTGTTTCCTTCTCTCTGCACTGCTCTGGGAATCAGTGGGTGAAATACAAAAGATCTGTGGTCCCCAAACAGCACTAACAGAGCTGTCTCTGACACTGCATGATGTCCTGTGTGGTGAAACCCACACTCCATCCTCTGTGACAATGCCCAAAATGGACTGAGAGGCCATTTAGGCACTTGGCCTCAAGACACTAGTTCAGACCATCAGCTGTACAGGGTTGCAAATGCTAGAATTGTCTCAGCCGAGCCAAAATCTTTGTTTTGGACCAAGAAACTTCCTTCTGTTCCTGAACAGGGTTTCCTTAGGGCTGCTGTTTATAACAAATGGAATTGCAGCTCTCTGGGACAGCTCTTTCCAGTGTAGTCCCTGTTGGTTGGCTTGGGTGGCTGCTGTGTGTTGAGCTGCTTGGGTGCCCAAGCCCTACAGAGATGTGCCTGTGAACAAGGAATTGCCAACACTTCTGGTTGTTTTGGGAGGCAGCCTGATTCACTCAGCATATTCACACCATTCCCAACATGGACAAAGACAGCTTAGATTTTAGTTCAAAAGACAAGCAGAAGTTGTCGTCTTGCCCATCTGTTCATCATAATCTAGTTGACAACTTTACCCTGGAGATGAGAAACACAGCTTTTTGCCTTCTTCTGGCTTAGCAAGTGAATGATGATGATTGCACTTGACTCTCACTTCCTCAGAAAATACTCTGACCAATGTGCTCAGGAATATTTTTGAAGTTGCTGCTTCCTGAGCCTCTTTCAAAATTACCACTGCACACTAAAATTGCAAGCTAAAGGGGACATAAGAGATTAAAGAATTAAAAGTGCATAAACAGTCTCTGGAAGTGGGTTAGGACTTTTCAGAAAGGACCTGTTCCTGGTGAGCTTCAGTGTCCTTTCATATTATTTTTTCATCCCTTAGTCCTATTTGGATAAATACATTAAAAATGTTCAGGGTAAAATCAGCTCTACCTAGTGCTGGGAGAATTTTTCTCCAGTCTGTCAAAGTCAGCAGAGAAATAAACAGAAATAAAGTTTAGAATACTTTTCTCTCTCCCTTTCTTCATTCGCCTTCATGGGGTAGAGGTTGAGGTTCACTAACATTCTCTGAATGCCCTGCCCAGTGTAGATTGGTCATTCACCTAGAATCTGAACTTTGATGGAGATGATAGCTTAAAATCATAACACTGGCAGAACCAATCTTGCCTCTATTGAAAATGACAGAGCCTCTACCAGCTTCAGCAACTCAAAACCAGGCATTGCAGTTCTGACTCAGAGAAAATACAATGATTCTCTGAAGGATCTCGAGCATGTGCTTAAAAGTTGTGCTGAGCTGGATACAGAATAGGCTAGAAAATCAGTGCACAGAGTAAAGATAAGTAGAGTTTTATCAGTAAGGATCTCCATGCCTTCAGCTACTTGCCAATATTTCAGAAAAACAACACTATTTCTGTGATTTTATAATGTATTCTGAGATTAATTCTTTGAAATATAATTATTTCAAAATGGTATTTCAAAGTAGGTTGCATTTTAGAAATTCCAGCCTTTCTGATGTCTCTTGCATCTCATCTTACATTGGTGAGAATCCATGAGAATCTTGAGGTATTGTGTAAATTGTGTATATTGTACTTAAAATTAAAATAGCAGTATTGCCACCAGCACTCTGAAATAATGTGTGACTGTTAAAATACCTATTTTGTGTACCACCTTCTATTCTATTCAACAGCATGTGATTGTGATGAATGGTAGCCTTTAATATGTGAATTGTTGTGTCTTCTTTTACAAAACATTTTAATAGGTACCCCTTTTTAATTTAGGAAAATTATAATTTTTTAATATACAAAATTAATGCTCATGCTAACATTGATGAGTGATCTTAGTTAAAATAAAGAAAAGGCCAGAGGTGCAATGAAGAAAGTCGTCTGAAGTTATGAGACGGTTAAAAAGTATTTCAGTTGATTGTGAAAGTAGTAGGGCAAAAATTTATTTTCAAAAATATTTCAGGATACCTTGACAATACCTAATGACTTTGGCTTTTGCTTTTGATATCATGTGGTACATCCCCCCTCAAAACCCAACTGAAGCCCAACTGTTCAGGCTATTTCAGCTAAATAAACTCTGCAGAGGATTAAATGACTAGATGTGAATATGCATGTGAAAAAACCTAGTATTGCAGCTACCAATTGTAAAAGCTGTTAGGACCAGTACATTGGAAGATACAAATTTCTATTTTTAAACTAAAATAAAAAATGATTTTTTTATTTGTATAAAGTTGTACTTTTGCTGTTAACTATAATTTTGTTTTTTACTGAAATAGTTTTGTAATTTGCATTTAAAATTTCTAATATGAAAAGGAATTTACAAAATCTAGTTTAATAAAGGATTTTTGTCACAAGTGTAGACTTCTGTCTTTCCTTTAAAAATTATGTTTCAGCTTGTATCAAATTTTTTTAAATAGTAGTCTTGGAGTTCTGCATGAAAGCCACTTGCTTGGCTTCAGGATACCATCTGTAGGGAGACGAAGCAACCATCTGCAGGCATAAAAAGGAACAGATTTGTGGCCTGAATTTCAGTGGTGCAAGTGCGAGCTGAATGCTCAAATCACTGAAAATGAGGGTCGTGGTTTCAGATATTTTTTTGACCTGAAGTAGCTGAAGAGATGCTATTCCAGGCTAGCTTACTCATGGGAGAGTGAGAGCAGTAGTGTGTGTCAAGGGGAGGGGTGGTCTGACCACTGCAACAATGGGAGTTTGGGGGAGGGTTCTGGAGAGATCTCATTTATCAAGAGCCTGTAGGTAGGGGCGGTGAGAGGCCAGATCCTGAGGGAGCACAATGCTGTAGCATGGTGGGTGCAGAGCTGCTAAGCCTGGGTTTTCCCAAGCCTGCCCCGCTACGGTGAGGTGCAGGTATTTTCCTGTGTATTGTCCTGGAAGAGTGGAATGAGACCAAAGTGGTGACTGCAGTCTAACCTATTTTATTAGCTCAGTTTGATGACAACTTGCTGTGACCCAAGATGACTCCTGCAGAATCATTGCTATGGCTTCATTGCCTTGCAGTTTCGGTTGACTGTAGAAATAAGTCGGGCTTGTGCTTTGCTACAGCAAAGCCCTAACTCATAAGCTGTTCAAGAGAGCAGGGAAAACAGGTTTTGGGAACACATGAAAGCTTGGTAGATGCTACTTTAAATGTGACGTGGCTGACCCTGAGCCATGGTTATTAGACCACAGCGTTGGTAAATGTCTTGTTGGTTGTATGCTCTTTACTTACAGGTCTTCCTGCTCTGGCAGTGTGGCTCAAGGTCCAGCTTGGGCATTAGTCTCTCAAATTGAAATGCTTTAAAGTGGAGGTGCTGCTGCTGGACTTGCCTTCTGTCTTGAGGCAGCTTAACTCCTACCCTTGCTAAAACAGTCCATCCTGACTCACTAGCTTCTATCTATTTCAGTTCATGCCCTTTTTTCCTGAGTGCTGGGATTGTCTTGAGCACCTTTATGCTTCCAGCTGGGAGTTTGCTCTTCAAAAGCACTCTGGGGATTTCTGAGAGTCTGTCTCCTTATTTAAGTAAGAGTAATAGGATATTGTAGTCGGTCTGTACTTAGGAAAATTATTTGAACTTCACGACTGAAAACTGTAGTGTGATAAAAATATTGCTTGAGACAAAAAGTTTTTCAGTTCAGATTATTAAAGCATAATTAAATGTGTCTGCTGGTGGAACGTTTCAGGTAGCTTGACAATAGGTGGTGCCCTTGCCAACGGCAGAGGGATGGTGGCAGCAGCTCTTACTGTGCCCCTACCAGAGCAGAGTTGTTTCTCTGTATGACAGATGCTAAAGGATGTTATTACACGTCACATGCTGTTCATTTCTTCCTCTGAGGCAGAATACTGTATTTGGAGTATTAGTTTGGTGAATGTTTTTCTTCTTTACAGATGGGTGGAGATGGTTATCAAAATATACTTGCTTCTCTGTGCTAGAGATGGGCAAAACAAATTGATTTTTGCACGCAGGTTTGAAGATGGTAATGTTGAAGTTTCTCCATCAGCTACCCTGGGTTAGTTTTTGTAGGTTGGATGCTTGGACAGATCAGTCTGTTTGGAGAGTGACTTAAAGGCATTGTGCTGTCTGATGAAGTTTTGTGCCACTGTGGATGTTGCTGGTGGCACAGTCTTCTTGAAAACCCTGAAGGGAAGGACCCCCTTGATGTTGCTTAACTTTCTGCATCATGGGGCCTGGCTGGGCTCACAGTGACCTCTCAGTTGCCACTAATTGGTAAGCAACTGCATGGATCAGTGGTTTTTTTGTATTGTCTTGAGAAACAGCTCTCTCCTTCATAGACATCTGTGGCTAGTCATACACACTGGCCAGGAGAGCAAGCATTGGAAATCCTCTACCAGTGCCACAGATTTAATCATCTTGGTCTGTAAATGGCGAAATGGTAGCCTTGTGAAATATTTCTGTGAGAGCTCTCTGTAATAGTGTCTGCTTCATGTCAGCTGACTCAGAGCATTGCCTTGGGTTCCTGCCTCTAAATCAGAGTAAAAGTAGGCTTCTTCACCTGTGTGCCCCTCTTGTCTTTCCTGATTATCTTCTTTTACTGTCTTGCAGTGCCATATATGCAGGTTTGGGTGTTTATCAAGATAGCCATGTAAAGTAGCTACTTTGATATGCTGTAGGCAGCAGAACGTCCTCCTTGGAGGGATGAAGCACTCTGGCTGCCAGGGAGGTTTCCCTTTGGGAGCAGGTCAGGGTATCTATGTCAGGCTCCTGTTCTGAGTCTTCTTTTGGGGTAACATGTTTTTGTTTATGTACATGTTTATGTACTAGAAAGGAGAAACTGGCTGGTGAAGCAGAGAGCCTGGGACTGAGCAGTGTAACTGTCCCTATCCTTTGAAGCAGGACCAAGTGGGAAAAGCACATTCAAAACAAAAACAGCTGCTGCCTTCGGATTTCTTTCCCAAGGGGAATCCCAATGGCCTCTCGCACATCTGGGGCAGGAGGCCTGGTTTGTTTTCTTTCCTGCCAAGACAAATGTACAGTCAGCAACACCAACGGGGCAGGGCAAGGCCGCGGGCGTGGGGCCGGGGCAGGCACTGGGGCGAAGGGAGCAGGGTGTCCGCTCCCGCCGTGAGGGCCGGGGCGGTGTGTGCTTGGCGATCCCTCCGGGGCCGGGAGCTGTCCGGGGGCCGCGGGAGCAGGGAAGGGGGAGCCCCGGAGCTGCTGGGGGAAGGGGCTCCCTCCGCCATCTCCCTGCTGTGACACAGCGCAGGCAGCGTCTCCCGGGCAGAGCCGAAGGAGGAGGCAGCGTTTCCCCCGGCGCTGGTTCCCTCGCGGGGAGCCGCGCTGG